TTAATGTATACACACAACAACATTAGTTTATAGAAAATGCTGTAAACAACTGTATTTAATGTATACACACAACAACATTAGTTTATAGAAAATGCTGTACACAACTGCATTTAATGTATACACACAACAACATTAGTTTATAGAAAATGCTGTAAACAACTTTATTTAATGTATACACACAACCACATTAGTTTATAGAAAATGCTGTAAACAACTGTATTTAATGTATACACATAACCACGTTAGTTTATAGAAAATGCTGTAAACAACTGTATTTAATGTATATATGTTTTACTAATGTTGCCTACCTGTCTTATATAATGTACATTGATGTTTAATAATTACAATTTACAGCATCTACAACTCTTGTGTAATGTTGCTACATACCTGTCTGATATCATTTATGTTAATACTCAGTAATTACTATTTACCTCATCTGTTGTAGTGTTGTTGTCCACCTGTCTGATATCATGCACGTTGTTGTTTAATAATTACTAACTTTAAGGATTAGTTGTTGTGTTTTGTGCAGCATCTTTGTACTGATGTGAAACTTATAACAACGTTTTTGAGTGTACATTATTTTACTTTATGTAATTATTATTTTTACACACTAATCAAGTCATATAAACTAATGTGTTTGTATGCGTACATTAAATACAGTTGTTTACAGCATTTTCTATAAACTAATGTGGTTGTGTGTATACATTAAATACAGTTGTTTACAGCATTTTCTATAAACTAACGTGGTTGTGTATACATTGATGTTTAATAATTACAATTTACAGCATCTACAACGTTGCCTACCTGTCTTATATAATGTTTTACAATAAGTGTTTTACGTGAGTGTTTTACAATGAATGTTTTACGTGAGTGTTTTACAATGAATGTTTTACGTGAATGTTTTACAATGAATGTTTTACGTGAATGTTTTACGTGAGTGTTTTACAATAAGTGTTTTACGTGAGTGTTTTACAATGAATGATTTACGTGAATGTTTTACTATAAGTGTAATGCGTCTTGTATTAAAAAGCATACCTTTTGTGAAACAACCATGACTATCCCACAAAATAAATGTAGGTGTTGATGAGGTTCATGTTATGCAACATCTTCTGTTTAATCATAACAGTTTATTAACTTTCATAAACACACTAATAAAATATAATTTGTAAATAAAAACCCTAATATGATAAATATTAATCGAAATTGACTTTGTTGTTCTTAAATTGTGCAATATTGGTTACATGAGGTTTGGTTTGTAACAGTTTAACTTGACACATCGGATACGTCACATGTCTTTTGGTCGAAACATACCAGGGAAAACTAACCTTCTTGATGGAACACAACAAATAGCCGAAGAAGGTATGAACATTATCATATCTTTTTAAATATGTTTTCACGTTTGATTATTTACAAATAGCCGAAGAAGGTATGAACATTATCGTATCTTTTTAAATATGTTTTACATTTGATTATTTACCAATAGCCGAAGAAGGTATGAACATTATCGTATCTTTTTAAATATGTTTTACATTTGATTATTTACCAATATCCGAAGAAGGTATGAACATTATCGTATCTTTTTAAATATGTTTTACATTTGATTATTTACCAATAGCTGAAGAAGGTATGAACATTATCGTATCTTTTTAAATATGTTTTTACATTTGATTATTTACAAATAGCCGAAGAAAGTATGAACATTATTGTATCTTTTTAAATATGTTTTTACATTTGATTATTTTTTAAAATCCTCTGTACAACTTGCCCCTCTATTGCTCAGAGGTAAGTCTGAAAGTTTATGATACTAAACACAGGGTTTTGATACGTGTGGTGAGCAGAACACAGATAGCCCATTGTATAGCTTTGCACTTAACAACGAACTATACAGTTTTTATGAAAACAAATAAAATTACTTATATAACAGTTTATGGTCTTATTCAGTTAGTTGAAGTTTCAGAAGTGCTGTTTTTATCCTAGTTTGTTCTGCATTTATTGTCCTGGTTTATTTCAAAATAGTAAACTAACCATTGTCATGATCAATGTTGTAGCAATTTATTGTTTTAAGGATTATTCTGTATCTATTTTGTAATATTAAAGAGGTCAGTATTTGTGGGCAAATGCAATATGTCTGTGCCACACAATCCCAACATGGCTAATTTTGACACGAGAAAAAACACACAAAAATTGAAAACTGTCTATATCATTGCCTGGGACCTGTAAGAAGGTATTTTTGTACCAAATGCCATGTAAGTTGGTTACATACACATTAATATTTCGTGAAAACCCAAAATTGTGCTTTCCTTGCTGAAAAATTCAGCTAAAGAGAAAAATTGTCTGTATATCTGTTTGGGACCTGTAAAAAAGTATCTTTGTACCAAATCTCATGTAAATTGGTTGAAATACGACAGAGTAATTGTCAAAAAAAAACATAAAATTACTCTTTTTGTGACATCTTGACCCCTCTATAATTACTAAAAATAGCCAAGTCCACCATTTTTGTTTGTTAATGTGTGGGACTTGTAAAAAAGTATCTTTGTACTAAATCCCACATACATTGGTCAAAATATGGCCAATTAATTATGTTTTTTTGTGAGTTCTGACCCCCCCTAAAAAGACTCAAAATTGGCAAATCCAACTTTTTTTTGTATGTCATTGTGTTGGGTGCATGAAAATTTATACTTGTGACAATTTTCATCTTGAGCCCATTTTTTCATTGTTTGACCTCATATAATCCTTAAAAAGGCCTACATAAAACTGTGTATTGAACCAAAGAATAACTCTACCAAGTTTCAAGTCAATCCACCAAGAAATGAATGATGGTGGTCGATTGAAAAGTGTTTGGAAGAAAGAAGAAGAAACAATATAAAAACTGTGTGTCTCTCTCTGCAGAGACAGAACTAGAAAATAAAAGTTAAAATGGCACAAAGTAGGACTTAAATTTGCTGTTTACCAGGTAAGTTAACTGACCCACTGAATTATCACATCAAAATGGTACAAGTCATGTGTTTGGAACAAAACTTATCAGGGTCCATTTGTTGATTATTATACAAATCACTGAAGGCTGAGGTTTCTAACATCTTTGATATGATAATGTTCAATGTACATAAACATTTATAAATGTATCCAACTGTTAAATACACATTATCTAATGTGTACATATATATGTATTAATGTTCTAGAAACATAATTTTATGTAGAGTTGAATTATAATTACATTTTTTGTCACTTTTACTAATATTATCACACATACGCACATTACTTATTATATGAAGATGTATGATAATGTTATTTGCACATTTTCTAATGTGCTTAGCTCTAATATCTTATGCACATTATTATACAGCATCTACAACTGTTTTACTAATGTTGCCTACCTGTCTTATATAATATACATTGATGTTTAATAATTACAATTTACAGCATCTACAACTCTGTTTTACTAATACATTCACTGTAAAACATTCACGTAAATAATTTATTGTAAAACACTCACGTAAAACACTTATTGTAAAACACTCACGTAAATCATTTATTGTAAAACACTCACGTAAAACATTCACGTAAGGTTACAAAAAAAAAGAACCATTCATACAAACAATTTAATCAAGTATTCTCTGAGTATCCTAAAAAAAGTAAGGATACAACATGCACCTTCAGCAGCAACATTAACAGGTTTATTAACATCAATTATAGTTTTTTACGATGATTAACAATGCTTCTCTAGCACAGAAAAAGACATTTCCTTCGTTG